TTTTTTCCTTCCTCAGAGTTTGCTCTTTTATATACTAGAAAGAAGAATTCTGAGTGAGTTCCTGTGCCAACTATTACAATATCATCTCACAGCTCCAAATTCACCCTTCCATACAATCATTTGTGGTGCTTCTGCTGGTGTCTTTGAGAAGAGGTGGAGACAAGACTGGCTCTGCAAGGTTGGAAAAGCTGAAAACTAGACTTAGCAGCCACTGTGGGGAGGTTCTGCCACTGCCAGGTGAGGAAGCCCTATTGGATAACACTCACAGAAGGAGGAAGCAGGCAAAAATCAAACAGGAACCACGAGGAAGGAGCAAGTCCTTCTCCTTCCACCCTTACAGTCTAGTCTCCCTCTTGTGCCCTTCATCCCAGTGAAGTTTTTGGGGTCTGGTGATGGTCCTGCAAGCTATACTGGCATCGACCACAGTGGATGGCTGCAGGGTTACAACCCTATTCAAGGGTGGCTCTGAAGGAAAATGATGAAGGGGAATCCTCCCCAATGGTCAGAACTTGAAGTGGCATATTTGTTCATCCACATTGTCTATACTGAGAGATGGTCAGAAGTACATACAGGTCATATTGATTTACGGGCAGCTGCTACTATTTTGCTGGATGATCATGGACTTGGGAAAGACAGAATTTGGAAGATTGGTAACAGTGAAGCCTGGAAAAGAAGATAGATCTTTCAGAATAGGCATAAAGTATTAATATGAGACATTTGTGTCCTGTGTGAATGTGCCCTACAGAACATCAACTACAGAGGAAGTTCTCAGACCCATGTACAAAGTGGCTATGGTGGCAGAGTTGGAGGCTCTGCATGGGCTCAACAACATGGACTTCGCTTCATCAAAGCTGAATTGATATGGCTACAACCAGGTGCCTAACCTGTAAACAGCAGAGACCAACACTAAGCCCCCAATATGGCACCATTCCCTGAGGGCACCGACCAGTCACATGGTGTCAGGTGGATTACATTGTACTCCTTTCATCATGGAGGGACAGAGGTTTGTCCTCACTGGAATAGATATGTATTCGGAATATGGATTTGCCTTCCCAAACCATAATACTTCTGCCAGCAACACATCTGTAAACTTACAGAACGGCTTATTCATTGTTCTGATATTCTGTACAACATCATTTTGACCAAGCAACTTATTTCACAACAAGAGAAGTTCAGCAATGTGCTCATGCTTGTGAAATTCACTGCTCTTATCCCATACTCCATCACCTGGAACCAACTGGCCTACCACAATGTGAGATGGCCTATAAAGACTCACTTGTGGCACCATTTGGAAGACTCAGTTATGGCACCATTCTGAAAGCATGGGGCTCTATCTTACATATGGTGTTTGTTTTGATTCGGTGATCAACATAAGGTGCTACCTTTCCCACAGTAGAATACCTGGGTCAGGGAATCAAGGGGTAAGGTGGGAGTCACTCCCCTTACTATTACACTAAATAACCCACTTGTAGAATTTCTGCATCCTGTCTTAGCCTGTTAGGGCTTCCACAATGAAACTCCACAGACTAGGTGGCTTAAACAACAAAAATTTATTTTCCCACAGTTCTAGAGGCTGGAAGTCCCCAAAGTCAAGGTGCCAGCAGACTCGGTTTCCTCTGAGGCCTCTCTCCTTGGCTTGCAGATGGCCGCCTTCTCACTGTGTCTCATGGTCTTTCCTCTGTGTACACACACCCTGGCTGTCTCTCTGTGTGTTCAAATTTTCTTTTCTTATAAAGACACCAGTCAGATCAGATTAGGGCCCACTCTGCCAGTCTCATTTTAACTTAATTGCCTCTTATCTCGGAACACTCTCACATTCTGAGGTACTGAGGGTCAGGGCTTCAACATATAAATTCTGGTGGGGGGCGTGGGACACAAGTTAGCACACAATGTATCCTATCCCCACAAGTTTGAACTCTGCTAGTTTAAAGGTCTTAGTTCCTAAGAATGCTTCCATGAAAGGACACAGGACACACAATGGTTTCATTGCATTAAAAGTTGTGACTATTATCTGGCCATTTTGAGCTCCTCATGACATTGAACCAATAGGCAAAGAAGGGATTATTCTACTACCTAGAGTGACTGATTCCAAGAGCCAGGGGAAACTGAGTTGCTACTAACAGTAAGGGCAGGGAGGACTGTCTGGAACCAGGAATTCTCTTGGGCGCCTCTTACTACTTCCATGCTCAATGGTAATAGCTAATGAAAAACTTCAGCAATCAAAAAAAGGCAGAGCCACTGAAGATTATGATCTTTCAGGAGTGAAGATTTGGGTTACCCTACCAGG